CATCCCGTTCTTGTCTGTCTTGTCGTGTTCACTCCACCTTCGACAATAATCTACATCCCTCCTGACCCTTGTACCTTTTTCTTAGCTAACTCTGTATCTCGTACTGTCTCTCACTATCTTCAAGTCTCTTGCTCCCTATGTCCTGTTTCCACAATGCCAAGAGTTCTTTCGCAGTCATATAGGGTTCGGCATCATAATCCTAAGGGTGGGAGCATACCCATCCCAGCACCTTCCAGAGTAACCTATAGCTTTTGATGCTCCTGCACTCTTTTTTTTTTTTTTTTTTTTTTTTTTTTTTTTTTTTTTTTTTTTTTTTTTTAATTCCTTCTCCTCTCTCTCCCCCCCCTCCCCAAATCCTCTCTGCCCCACCCCTTCTCAACGCCTTCTAATCCCCACCCCCTAATATTGTACAGCTACCAACCAATTCTCTAATTCTACGTAACACCTACCCCTGTCCCCCCTAACTACTATGAATGTTGGCTGCTTTTCTTGATTGATCTCATCCCAATTCAGTTTTTTCCTCCATTTCTGCCCGGGGCCTTTGGCATTGCAGCACCGGGCCGAACTGCATACGGCCCGGTCTGGGGATCTCGGGCGAGCAGCTGTGGGTATGGGCCCCATCTGGCCCAGAACCGTTCCGCCCTCCCTTCGCGTGTGTTCCTACTTCGGTGTCAATCCGCCAGGAGAGCCACTCAAATCTTTTCCAGCGTCCTGTCCTGGTATGTCTGCAACAGGGAAAAGTGCCCTGTCTGCAGCGATCATTCCTCAATGTCCACAAGGCCCACAACACCGCCGCCCTCAGAATTTCCGCTGCCATCAAATCCTCCGGTTTTGCCCTGTCCACTTTCATCAGTGCCCCCAGTAGGATGACCGTGTCGTCCCCCTCCATGGCCTCAAGCGGGGATTTGTCTGCCATCTCTTGCGCCCACAACTCCCAGAAGGCCCGCACTATTGGGCATCGTACAAACAGGTGGGGTATTGTCTCCACTTGTCCACAGCCTGCTTGACATCTCTGATCCTTGCATCGGCTCTTAGTTGCCATCCACTGCGCTGTGGGATTGCTAGATGATACAACTGCCATAGCAGACCCGCCTGTTTCTGGTGTTTCAGGGCTGCCATGAGTGCACATTGTTCATTCCACCTTCGCTGTGTCCGTCTGCCGAAGCAGGTGTCCGGAATCCAGTTTCTTTTGGCCCACGGAGTCCTCAGCTCCAGGGCTGCCATGAGTGCACATTATTCATTCCACCTTCGCTGTGTCCATCTGCCGAAGTAGGCGTCAGGAATCCAGTTCCTTTTGGCCCACCGAGTCCTCAGCTCCTCACAGATGTTCATTGGATCCAGAAGAGGGTTGTAGATGTTTTTTGTAGTAAGATTCTGGAGCGGCACATCTTTCCTTTGCGTTCTTTGTCTCGGCCATTCTCATTCTCTCGGGTCCCGTGTAAGATCCCGCCGTCTAGATGCGATACGAAAGGGTACGTATTGTCCCTCCCCCCTATCTCCTCCTCCACTTACCGCCACCGTTTCGATATATTCCTATCCATGCTTTTCCGGGGGTTTCCTTCTCCCGTCGCATCCTCCTGCATGGGTTCCCGCAGCCCCTTGTACCCCGTACTCACGCGCCAGTTGGTGACCTGTAACCTTCCGTCTACCAGCACCTGCTCCACCCTATATAATCTCTCCGCTTTAAAATCTCCCTGTATCGTCACCCTTTTCTCCGGGATGAGATCTCATCCTTCCTCACCAGTTCGATCCACTGGGTGGGGATAAGTTCCTGGAGTTCTCCCACCCGCTCTCCTCTTCATTCTGCCCTGCAGGGATTCCAGCACATCATTGCTCGTACGCCAGTCCTTTTCGCTCCTTATCCCATAGGTGGCCTATCTTGTAAATGCCTTGTTCCACCCACTTCCACCCGTAAGCTCCCCACAGGCTATGCCAGGGCAGGGGCTCACCAGTGGCGCCACAGATGAACCTGTTTCTGAACAGCGGCTGGTTAAACACCACGTCCGCAGTGTCAGGCAGGCGACACCTCACCTGTACTTTCTTCTACAGTACCACCTCTGTTGACCATACCGGCTCCCTCCAGAGGTGGTGAATCGCCTTGTTGTCCAGCAGGCACAGATCCACTATTTCATCAGACACTTGCAATGCATAGGCAAGGTGGGCCTGGGCAACCCCTTGCCATGGAGCGCCCAGCGTTCCCAGCAAGTGCCAGAGCAATTGCCGCAGCTGCAAGGGTATGTTCTGTGTTCGCGGATCGATTAGCCCCAGGCCCCCAAACCGTTTCGGCTGGATAGGCTTGTTCCATGCCACTCTGCATATGAAGTCGTCCGACTCTGCGGCGTTAGTACACAAGTGCGCATGGATTGCCTTCTTGATATATCTAATGGTACGCCTTCCTGGCATGTGAACTGCACTTGCGTACCACAGGGTGACAACCACTGAGTTTTTAATGACCAGGGCACACCCATACTACCCCTTGCACTCCATGCCTTCAGTTGAGCCACCCCCACGGTTGCTTTGAGCGCCATCTGTTTGAATCCCCCGTAACTCGGCGTTAGATTGGCTCCCAAGAACATCATTCTTTCCTCATTCCCCACCGTTGGTATGTCCCACCCTTCCAGCTGGTCTATTCCCCGTGGGAGAATGGCCTTGGATTTATACCAGTTGACCTGCGCTCTCGAGTACTTGCAAAATACCTGCAGATCTTCGTTGAGGATGACGAGCTGTTGAATTGTCGGGGGAATCACCGCCGCCCAAGTCATTTGCAAATGCAGTAGATTGCGGCTCCACTTTTGGCCCAACCCTCGAGCTCTCCAGTCGTTCATCCGCACTCAATATGCCATGCATTGGTTCAATGTAGATGCCAAAACTTCTGCTTGGACAAACAGATGCACAACGATACATCCGACCGGACAACTGCGGAGGCAGACAAAAAAATGTCCGAAAATAACAAAATACAACAAAACTAGATGAAAACACGAAGACAACCTCAGGAGACGAAAGAACCTACCTGGGGTCTCTGGGAGGCCCTAATAGATGTCCGCAGCCCTAGCACCTCCCAAAGATGGGAGATGTGCGGTTCAGGGCCTGTGATGATCCAATGTTTGTATAGGCTAGTGGGAATCTGTGCATGCAACATACCTCTCCTACGAACCTCCCTTCTGGTCCCAATCTCTCTCTCCTCCCCCCC